TTTTATCGCTGCGCTTGTCATTTCCATTGTCTTACATATTTATTTATTTATCATTTATTTATTGTTTATTTACTTATTCATTTACAATTGTTTTTTCTGCGGTTTTCCGCATGACACGATATATACGTAATATTTGCAAATGAACATTTATTTACATATGTATATATTTGGATAGCAATAGCATGAAACTACATTTAAATGCATGCAAAATAAAAGAAAAGCATTAAACAAATAGAAAACGCGACGGTGCTGCATGGCGCGCATGAACTTTTTAAATAAATAAATACATAAATAAATAATATAAGTAAATATTAAAAATCACTGCAGCGTAGAATGAATAATAAATAAAATAAATAAATGAATCAATCAGTAAATATTATATAAAGTTTTCTCTCTTACCACTTGACTGAGATTGTGTACCATTTTCGTTATTCGCTTTAAAAGATTAAGACAGTAATCGATCGATAGTACCGCCGTACCGTAGAGTTACAATTTTCCCGGTCACTTTATCTTGTCTGTTCTCAGCTTTTACAGACAGACAATAGAAAACAGACGCGACAGGATATGTTTTGAATTGTCGTTGTCGCTTTGTCTGATGCTTATTAAAAGCAAACAGAGATGTTCTCGAGTGGATGAGAACTTCAACAAGTGAAAGAGAGAAAAGTTTTTTGTACTTGTAAAATTTTATTTTACCGCTCTGCAGTATACACACACTTGCATTTTCGTTAATGCGCTATTCATTTTTTTGGTTCCCTTAATTCATTTCTTTCTTTTCTTAAGAGCAATTTTAGACAAATGCTCCTAAACGATCGCCATAGTTACTATTTGCTTATGATGAAAATAATTTTCGCTAACTATGTATTTGTCAATCGAGCAGATCTTGGGAGTATTCTGAATGCGCATAAACAATACGCACTCAACTGGATCGGTGTCGTAATATATCTGCCGCTGTTGGCACTGTTGGTAATAAAAAAATTATTCTCTTTTTTTGCCCTGAAACAGCGCTCTTTGTCAAAAGTTCGTGGTTTTATATACACAGGGCAGTAAGGCTTGTTATAGTCTACTATCGCTTCAGCTGGTCCTTAAACCTTAGACAACTAAAGTTGACCCTGCTTTTGCAATTATTAAGTATTCAATGCCGATCTATTCACACACATGGTTTTATTTTTAATAAAGTTAAATAAATAGTTTTTATGCGACGAAATGATGATTTTTTTCTTTTCTCTCACTCTCAGTGCAACCGCCCTATTAAACGTTGTTTTGATTGCAAGTACATCTCAGTGCACAAATTCTGCTTTGCGTCCACTTCATTTCTCTCTCTCACTCTCTTTCCATACTTCTTTTGGACCATCAACTTGCTACATGTACAGGGCATCCCTAAGTGCTTCTATTAAAGGAAAAACAGTCGGTCGGTAATTGCCATGATAGAGATTCTTTTCATCCTTAACTCTTTAGTGTATTCGCTAAATATCTGAGTGGAAATCTGGGAAGAACCTGTCTCTCCACTTCTCTTCACTTCCATTTGCCATGCTACAAACGTTTCAATTAAGCTTGGCGTATTTGTATACAACCCGCAGCCATTAGTCTATTGTGTGTGTTTTTTATTTAAAGAAGATTTCATCTTAATCCCGATAATATGGAAATCCGTACATCCAGCATGCGTTTATACACCTTTCAACACCTTTAATGTCAGTTAATCTTTTTTCAATAAAGTCTGCTATGAAGTTTAAAGGTATCTTCACTTTCGTCTGTGCCCTTATTCTAGGAAATAGTTTGCTGACAAAAGTGTTTCTTGCCTTTCTTGCTTTAAAGCTAACTAATAAGAGTAAAATCAATTTTATTTAATCCCACCAAGAAAATTGGAATCTCATGGCCTAAAAATGTACACTAGAAGTTTTACATCGTACAATATTCATTCAAAAAAAAAAAAAAAAAAAAAAAATGTGTATTTTATCTTTAATTGATTTAATCAAACTACTTGACCCACTTTCCGAATGATAATAAATAATAAAAAAAAGAAATTCAATTGTAGAATCTAATCCATAATCGATTTCTACAAGTGTAACTAAGTACTTATTCATAAATTGTCTGCAAAGATTAGAAATTTATAGGCGAGAAAATAAAGTAAATAAAAGTCAATTCAGTTTCAAGTTTTCGCAAATTCTTTTGTGTACGTTTTGTAGTTGAATTTTTTTTTTTTGAATTCTTCTCTTCTTTTAAGCATAATTTTGCTTATTTATGCCGCCTCTCTCTTGGCTTTTATTTAATCGACTCATTGAGAATGAATGCGCATTGAAATGCATTCATTACATTATTCTTGGATTCTATTTGTACATATTTCTTGAAATTCTCATAGGGAATATCTATGTGCATTCTCCAATTCATATCTTTTAGATATGCACGCACAACTCATGCACAATTTCTATTATGCGATGAATTAATATTAAAATTTTAATAAAGAAAAAAAAAAAAAATTTACTACTCATTCAAAATGCAAAGAAAATTGTGAATGCATTCATGCAGTGCAAGAAGAATAAAAGTGATTGCAAGGAGAGTGAGATCCGAATGAGTTCTTTTTAAATATTAGCATTTATTATTATTTCTCAAAAAAGTTGGAACATTTTGAAATGAACATTCATTAAACATGCTGTATGCGTATGCGTATTTTTATTACTTTCACAGGTATCTACGTCGTAATCTACACACATAAGTTCCAAAACAATTATGTTTGAAATTCAAATAATGAAAATATTTTATGTATTTTTTGTGGTTATTGGCTGATCAAGCCAATTTTGAACTCTCCTGCCCATTCTAAGCATACTATCCTCCTCGTATTCACATTTTCTATCTTCCGTTTTTCTGTAAAGCAATGTCAAGCGAATAATAAAACCGTCGGATGTAAACAAACATCGCGAACGTGTGCATGGTGTGCGAAGATGTAAATAAGGAACGACGGTGAACAGATTTATGGGCGAACGGACGGAATTAAATATACTTGAAAGTCTATAACGATCAGTTCAATAACTCAAGGCATATCTGCTATGCATGTATAAGACGGTAACTGCCCGAAAGAAGAGGAAGAATGAAGAAAGAGGAAGCCTAGAGATGGAGGGGGGAGAGAGAGACTAAGGAATGAATGCCTAATCCATAAGTGTTATGCCATTAGCGACTGAGCTGAAGCTATACTGAATTCCCTCAATTATTTTAATGATAATGATAACCAGTGGTATTCGATATAAGAATGATGTAATAGCAATAACACGCAGTTATTAAATATTCAAAGTGTCAGCTCTGTTGCTATTTACCCCACAGTCAAGAATGAATTTTCATATTGCGGACATAACAAAAAATGTTGACATGAAATCGCTTAATAACATTTTATTTCCACAGTAATCGCAGCTTAAATGATTCAGAATCTCTTTACACATAGACAGATATAGCCGTATAGGCCCTGAACTGCTTGCGGTGATGATATGAATTAATCGGATTTCTAAATTCATAAAATGTATGTAATTATGTTTTCGTTCATCACTCTTTAGGTAAACGTGTTGTTATGAGCACATTATGAGCGCATAGAAAAGATTACTTTAAAAAGATTCTTTTTATTCAAAAAAAAAAAATAAATACGCCTAACCAAAAAGTAAATATGATGAATACTTTTACCTTAAACATATTTGCATTCACATTGCATCCATATTTTTATCATATTCGCCTTCATATAATTATGCCTTTTTTTCCTTAATATTCACACCTTTTATATAATTTTAACATGGATTCTTAAGTGTTAGAAAATTATTTTAAAAATTCATTTACACAAATTATATACAATCTAAGCACACAAAGGCAAGGTAAGAACAGCATCCTTATTGTCCTGAGAGTCCTGATACCCTTATATACTTAATATATTTGCATGTTATGCATATCTATAACAACGTGCTTTTAACTCTCTTCAAACAGCTGTAGGGGGTTTAAAGACGTTATCGTATATAAACATACCATCACGAGTTAACTGAAATTGCTATCACTACAAAAAATGTGTTAAAAATTTGTTGCATTCATTAAGAACAATCACCGTTTTATGTCACTGCTAAGCACATACGTGACGAGAAGAAGAACGGAAAAAAACACTATATCGCACTGACGAAAATTTGTCGTATATTGAATCTTTCATCTCGATGGCCGCATACAAAATACGCATCAGGAAGATCCTTTTAAAGTGAAGGGAATCACGGACATAATACTAGACTACGAATTTTCTAATTTTTGCTAACTTCGCAGTTCCTTACGAAGGCACTTAAATGGATTTCAGAATTCAAATTAAAGAAGGGAAGGAGAGACAAATTTAAGATTTAGATTAATCGGATGAAATTCTGAGTCCATGTTTCTTCTGTTCTTACGAAACGTTCGATATATTCTTCTTACCAATCATTTTAGAAGGCAATTACAATAATTTCACCCCATATATAAACTATTTTACTTGTCCTAACAATAAACCAATAAAGATTCCGAAATTTTTATAATAATTTGGGATCAGATACAAAGGGGGCTTACACTTGTAGAGATTTTGCGAACACATAAATTGGACAAATCTGAAGATATCTGCTACAGGGGGAGGACAACACTTGCTCCTGCATTACGTCATTCATCTATCCACCCAACTGTTTACAGTTGCCAATAGTCCAGTTGCTAAACTAAGTGCACAAGTGAATGGCTACTGAAAATGAATTTTGCTGATAGCGGCAACACAACTCAATGATAAATGGTAAAAACTAATTCTTTTTGAAAGAAACAGTTCCCTCCAAGCTTTTCACTTCTTTTTAATTTCCTTTCTTTCCTTTCCTTTTCTCGTAAAGATGTCAAAAAGACCCACAAACAAATAGTGCTCGTTTTCAGTAAACATTTTCTCGTCACATTTCGTAAAAGCTCCCCCAGTGAAAACCTGATTATCTTTAATGGATTGTTGTTACTTTCTCGCAAATAAAATGAAATTTAGTACTCACCATCCTCTTTTCGATTTATTAGTCAGGCTGATAAAAGTTTATGAGCTGTAAGAAAATCAAAAAAATATTTATGTTATTATTAAGAAATTGTTTGTAAATTTTTCAAACGTAATCTACATTCTGACAACATAACAACAATGAACACGCATTCAAGCGTACATATTTAAGTGATAATCAAAACAATACAACACCAGTTGTGACTGTGCATACGTGCGCAAAATCCTTAAATTCTGTGAATTCTGTTATGTGTAGTTACATATAAAAGTTTTTGTCCAATATGAAGCAAATGCCATTACTATACCCGGGTATTGTTCAATTTGTCACATTTGTTTGCAACACTCAAAAGGGAACAACACTCGGATGCCATAAAACAAATACATGCATATCTATATGTTCGTGGCCAGCCTCAAATTCGCATTCAATTCAACCATGTCCGTCCGTATTATGTCTGTGGTAATCATTCGTCTCGGTCTTAAAGATGGAAATCTCGGCTTCAAATTTGGCAAGAATGGCAAGGAAGTTTAAAGAGGCAAACAAGTTGCTATTTAAAAATTATCTAAATCGACTAGGGGACCCGCCCCATTTTAAGCTGACAACGTCTCTCTTTTTTCTTCCTTTTTTTTGCTCATTATTCGTGAATTACAACAAATACTATATAGTCCATATGCCTTTTACATAAATGGAAAAGATCATCCACGCCCACCAGTATATCGAATCTTTTGGATTTTGTTGCGGATATAAAAGATAGCGGATATAAAAGATTCGCCAACAGCCTATTATAATTTTCTCACTAGTTTTCTTTTTTCCGTGCATGTGTGTGTGTGTGTGTGTGTGTGTGTGTGTGTGTGTGTGTGTGTGT